GTCTTATATGGGACTGTTGCCGATTGGCGTCCAGTGGGTGTTGTAAGAAAATGGTTGCAGATTCTGTGGCTCCAGTAGCACTTCGGGAATTATTAAAGGGAGATTAGTAGTGGGGTCGAGATAGAAGTAAGCAAAACAGGTGCAGAAGAAGTGAGGTGCCAGTAGTTGCATGTTTTCGTTTATCCGCCCTGCTGTATGCAGCAGATAAGGCGATCCTTGATAATCTGCGCGACGGCTGATGCAGGATGAAGTTTATGTTTGCAGAAAATGTCATGGTTGTATATCGCCTGAGATATTACCACGGCGCCCAGACCTACACAAGCGGAAGATTGGGATTTACAACCAAAGCTTTTGGCTCAAAAGCCTATCCGCTAGGCAGCGGGGAGGTGGCAATGATTTAGTTTTACAGAAATGGACGCCATTCCATTTCAAACCCCCAACTTGGAGGACCAGGAGACTGAGTTTGTCTAACCTCTCACCATTTACCAACCTGGTAGGGGTAGCTCTCAGGGATTCCGCAGGCATCATCCACGATCACTCTATTGGTCAAGGTTTTTCGGAAACTGTCGCACCACGTTAGGGTCCAGTCTCGTTGCTTACATAGCTTTACTGTGTTTGGTCTAACTATGGTCGATCATAGAAGTACTTGGCAACTTTTGCTAACTACGGCATAACTTTGAACGACGCTGTAACTATCGCTGACTGTAAGGAAATTCGTCTGCTCGGTTACCACATGTCTTTGAGCAAAATCAGGATCGGTCCAGAACGCATGAAACCACTGCTTCAACTTCCCTCTCCAGCTGATCTTAACTCTTGTTCGCATGTTTGCCTATTACTCACAGTGGCTCCCTTCTCAAATAAAATCAGTCCTCTCCTAAAGAACCAAGTCTTCCCCCTTCCACCGCATGTAGAAAGTGCATTCGTACAGCTTAAAATTGTCTTGGAAAATGTTATAGTCATAACAGTTGATTACAATATTCTATTAGTTGTCAAAATAGACACCTCCGACATAGCTATAGCTGCTTCGCTGGTCAGAACAATCGCCCAGTCGCTTTTTTCTCACCTACCTTATCCCCAAATGAGATACATCATTCAGCTGTTGAAAAAGTGGCATACTGTCAGATAGTAGCGACCCTGTCTCCTTGGGATATAACTCAAGCTTATTACGGATCAGCGATCCGTAGCCTTCCTGTATGGTGATGATTAAACAAGCCAAATTAAGAACGACAAAATCCAATATTGGCGTTTGGAACCAGTTACAGATTTGGTAAAGCTAATCAGGTTGCAGACGCACTTTCACGTCTCACGTGTGCCTCAACGTTTAGCGGCACGAAGCGGCAAGACCTCCATAACTCATTGTTTCACCCAGGAGGGACCAGAAGGATTCATTTCGTACGTTCTCAAAACCTACCCTATGATTTCAGAGTGCACTGTCTGCGCAGCTTTTACACCCCGATTCTACAAGACACCCACGGGCGGACTCATCAAATCTACGCAGCCGTTCGAAAGGCTCAGTATGAATTTCAAATGGTCTTTACCTACAACGACTCACAATGGATACAGCAGATTTCCTTTCGCATTTTCACGCTCGAATATGCTTGCTTCAACCATCATTAATTGCCTCTGCTAATTGTTCGCAGTTTTTGATATGCCGGCGTACACACTGACCGATGACCTTCATTCATGTCTATAGAACTTACCAAGTTCCTACTGGACAACGGAGTGACAACTAATCACACAACTGCCTACAACCCACAAGCTAATGGCCAAGTGTAACGTCTCAACGGAACTTTTTGGAATACCATCTCATTCGCTCTTCGAGCCAGGAACCTGCCAGCTTCGCAGTGTAAGTTTACCCTTCCTGACGCACTGCATTCATCCGTTCTTTGCTTTGTACTGCTTCGAACACTACTCATGAACGGCTCTTTTGCTTTGCTCGACGAGCAACTAATGGAACTTCCATGCCATCCTGGCTGACGGTCTTTGGTCAAGTCTTACTCGAACGAATGGACAGATCTTCAAAATCCGAATCTTTGATGGAGGAACTCAGCCTCATCAGCTGCAACCCCCATGACGTTTGTGTGCGACTACCGGATACTAGGGAAGAAAATGTCTCCATCAGTCAGGTGGCATCTCGAAGCCGTGCCCCCGTTTTACCACCTGAAACCCGGGAGTCAACAGATACCCCTTTACCCACTCAAACTGACAATACACAGACCCCAACATCAGAACTCTCAGTGAATGGCTACTCGTGCAATGTCGACCGCGCTTGTGTTTGTCCATCTTCCCATTCCGATATTCTAAGCCAGCAACAGAGAACACGTCCACACAATTTACAAAATAGGGGTCTTAGTCTACGGACTTCCCCTTGTAACTCACCTATTTACAAATGCCTTTCATTTTCTGGCGGGGTGAATGTCTTATGCATTTACCTGTCTCCTTTTACATGTTACATCATAATCAACTCTTTTACCTTTCAACTGATGCACCTTTGTTGTAATGCCAGTAAATCGTATACTTTCTATTCCGTGTTATTTCGTCTGTTGTGCTATCTCCGTCCAGCGTATCAGCTGTGCTTGATGTGAATGCTGGCAAGTGCCTGCCTGTCGAAAACTGCCACCTCGATTACTGGCTCCGGCAGACTGCTCATCGTTGCTGTGCGAGGCGAGGAGCATCATCTTCTTGACTGTGTGAGATAAGATTGCTCGCTGTCACCTTTCCTCTTTAACTTCGCTGTTGACGAAGACATGGAAACGACGTTCGCTGGACACGACCTAGAAGCTGTGGAGCTGCTTCTTGTTGAGCGACTTGTAGTATGCGGACGATATTGCCCTAATCAGTGTCAGCTCCTTAACGTGCCAAGCAGCACTGGACCGAATAGCACTGGCTGTCAATCGTTTTGGGCTATGCTTTGCTCCATCGAAGTGCAAAGTCCTTCAAGATTGACATGAACCCAACCCTGCGCTGACCCTTGGTGTTGATCAGCTAGAAGTCGTTCATGAATTCAAATACCTGGGCAGCTATCTTAGCGCCCGTTGGATCGAAGGTGAGGTTACGAACCGTATAGGAAAACTTTGAGGTACTTTTGTCAATCTCCGCCACTTGTGGCGTCGACGTGACATCACTATCGCCCTGAAGGGTAGAGTTCATAATACAACCGTCCGTTCAACTCTCATATACGGATGCGAAACCTGACTCATCAGGTCGTTAGACGTAAATAGGCTAGTCACCCATCATTGCTGCCTTCGCAGCTTAGATCATGTCTGGTGGGAGTACCGCTTGAGCGATGAATGTGTTCGACGTTGTGTATTTGATGCAAGAAGGGCGAGTGAACCGCTCAGCACCATTATATCGCGTGCCAGGCTCCGATGGTTGGGCCACGTGTTGCGCATGCCAACGCATCCACTCCCGCATCGTTCTTTTCTTGCGCGCCCGGGGGGTGGATGGAAGAAAGGGAGGAGAGGCCAAACGATAACTTAGTCGATAGGAACAAAAACTCACTTTGGATTTGACATTTGTGGTACATCGTCCCAAGGACTATTACCACGTTTGATTGAATCCAGTTGCTGACTTGACAAAGAGCCGGCCTCAAGGTCGTTCACGTTGTGAGTTTCTTTGTCCACTCCCGTTCCGCTTATCTCCATCCTTCAACCTCACTCTCTTTTGACGCATCATATGTTACTAAGTAGTGCATTGCCTGTTTTCTGCATTCTATACTTTTCGGTATCTTACTTTTTCTGATATCTTTAGGTATTGCGGCACTGTACTTTAAGTTTGATTCTTAACTTCTGCTAATGTGTAGCAATAATGATGATGATAGTGGAGGCATGGCAACGAAGCCTCAATACGTGCACCAGCGTATTGTCAATTCCCCCTCACTGCTAACGGCTTGGTTTTTCTCGATATCGATAGATTACAGCATTTATCTGGCTAGAATTGTGAACACTATGCCGTAGCGCAACAATGCATGATCTTGAGTCCATATGTGTACTCCAAGTCGATCAGTTATCTTGTACTAAACTAAAGCATCTACGTCTAAAGGTGGTATATACAATTTGAATCCATGAGTCGTTTTGTTAAATGAGCACCATGAAATATAATATGAACACTTGCATTATATAGGGGTGCTGCTACTATACATGTATTGGGGACTGCATTATGCAATCGATGGTCATTTTTGTTCAGGCGTTTGCCTCGAAACTGCCTCCCAAGTCTTGCTCGAGATGAGTCTACTGTGTTCTGATGCTGTACTTTTCAAGAAAAAAGGAATCAGCAGTACCTCCGTGTGCAGTACCGACGCTTCTCTGCCGTGCAATCACCAACAGTCGCAAGTGGACTAAGGATACTGCGAGGGTCGTTTGGTACTCTACGCAGGTTTTAACCCGCGCCCTCGGATTACTAGGCAGGCTTTTGATTCGTTCGGCCACGGGCCGGCACTTTACAAGGAAAGTGATTGGGTCAGTGCACCGTTTTGTTCAATTTTATTTTTGAACTGAATGTAGCTCCTGATTGGGAAGATCACTATCATTATATATTCAAAGCATGCTCTGGCTGGTTTCCTGACCATTTTGTGATGGACAGCCTGCCTGTTTGCTTTCATCTTCATGTGTGTGCTTCTGTGCTATGTATGTGGCGGTGTTGTAGATAGTTCAACTGAAATTCGCAGAATGCTTAACTAGGCGTTAAGAGGCGAACGACCGATTGCAAGTGGATCAGCACGACTTCGCACACTATGCCTTACATTGAGACTGATCATACTATGCCGTACTGTTAGTATTCCCAAATGCACTCTCAGCTTATTGCTTCATAACTTAAACTTATGGTCCCCACCTCGTTCTCTGTTACTTTAATTGCGGTTCCATTTCTATCGGTGGATCAGTGATGTTGACGAATAATGATCGTAAGCAAAAATCACGGTATTGATCATACTATATTCGATTATTGTGTAATAGCCCATACCTTCACTTTCACCTGACCACTGCAGTGCATTTGTTTTTCAGCCTGACATGAAAGATCCTCCAGGAAGACCACCCTTTGCAGCCGCCAAGCTTTTATGGGATCCAGAAATCAACCCGGCATATCGCGTTCCGCTGTACCGTATTGATGGTATCGTAGAAGGGGTAAGCCATTGTCTTACTTCTCATACTCTCCATCAACAGCATGACGCTCCTGACAGTGAACCTGTAGTTGATCCAAGGCCATCGCTACATTTCCGAAGTCTATACCGGAAACAAATAGCTGATTTGCCGTTGCCATCTTTTAGGGTGCGTGACATTTATTTCCTTAATTTCAAACTTTTTTTGTAGATCGACGAACATTATGTTGGCGAGAAGCCAGAAAAGGAAATTACTTTCTCCAATCTCAATGACAATATCAGTTATAAAAACCTAGAAGACATGTGCAAGAAATTTGGTACAATAGAAGAGGCCAAAGTCTACTATCATCCGCAAACACAGCGGCATTTGGGAGTTGGAACAGTTCGCCTAAAATTCCTTCCTTATGCAACATTCACCTTCCTTACAGGTTGTTTTTCGAAGCTCTAGAAGTGCGAAGACATGCGCCGATGCACTGCACAAGACCTCTAAGATGGGAAACATTATGAACGTGCAAGTCGATTTCTTGGGTAGGGGAAACGTTTTTCCGTATAGTGTATTTGTTTCAGGTAAATTCCGAACTCAGCTTTTGAATGAGCTGATGGCTGATCTTCTGCCCCGTCATGGAAATGAAATCCAACATGTCCCCACTTCCCAAAGCGTTTCAATTAAGAACAAATCCTTCCCATATGACGCTCATCTGTTCTTCCCTCCGGACAATCGCGGAACAGCACATGGATACGATCCCTCAGTTAAACCTGGTGAATTTTTCCCTTCTGGGTGCAGCACTGTAGATCTGAAAGGGCGCTTCACAGCTTCAGACCAAATTCCTGTAGTGCCTCCCAGCTGTGCAACATCGTTCGTTTCTCGTTCCCTTCATTGTATGGGAGACAAATGCAACTTGCACAACAACGTTGGCTCCTCCAACGATCAACTTTTGCCTGGATGCCACATTTCGGTCGAGGATAAGCACTCCTCACCGTCGCGGCAACAACCGCTTCCAAAAAGGGCCGGTTTAAATCCAACAGTGGAGCACACGGGCGTAACACAAGAGAGAGTTCCAAGGGATCTGCCTCAGGGAAAATGCCTTTCTGAAAGAATGGGTTCCGTGGACTCCACCAGTAAAGCACTGCCTCATCCCGAAGAATCATTGGAATCAAGGATACAAAGACTTCTTCGTCTTAACAGTCTCTCTTCAACTGGTACAGGTGTATGCGGCTCCTCGGGTTTACCTAAGACACAGTCTAGTGTAACCGCAGACTTGCACCCTACCCGTTTTGATGGATCAATTCAATTTGTGAATCCAGTTACTCAGCGTGCAATCTCTGTTCCCGTATCACAGCCTGAGGCAGCACCTTGCTCCTCATCTATTTTACCTGAATCATTGAGGCAAACTGGCGAAGAGTCACACAACCCTCAGCTGTCCGCGGCAAATCGTCGTACTCTCCTACCAACTCCTGAATCAGTCAACTCGATGAAGGCTGCCGCTGGTGCTGCGAACCTCCAAAACTCACCTGATGCATCATTAGCTGATCGATCTTCGCTATTAAGATCCCATGCTAAGCCAGTGGATTTGGCTTCCGTCTCTTTCATTATTGAAGAAGTGAAGGCTATGTTTCTTGATGAACTAAAGAATATCATGCACCGGGATGTGACTCGACGCATCGTTGAAGGAAACGCCTTCAAAATCTTTTCCACATGGTGGGATTCTTATGATAGTCAGCATGGATCTCGGGTAAGCCTTACCAAATTATTTGTGACCGTCCTCACAATTCGGTAAGCACCTCAGTTGCAAATCTTCGCCTGTCGGAGTGAGCTATTACATGAAACTATTTTTTCCTTTCTCCCTTCTCTTACACCATCACTTCATTGTAGGGTTTTTGACAGTAATCATCTGTTTCCTTTGAGTAGTCGGCCGGTGGCCAAGTGGTCTGCACGCCTGGCTTGCAATCATAAGGTCACCGGTTCGAATCCGCGTAGCGGCGGGCGTCTTCTTGGTATATTCAGCCAATGCAAGACTGGTGGTGGTTGCGCGACAGAGAAGCGCCGTTACGACGCACAGCTGACACATTATTTACTTATTATTCGTCACGTGTGAACATTTGTTTGGTTCGCGCGTAAGTGCCATTCCGTCATATAATTGGACCTCGAACTCATTATTGGGTATTGGAGTATCCGCCATGTGTCTGGATTGCGGCACGCAATTTTGATGGGGGCTACGATTTTCTTTGAAGCAAACTTATGCCATTTAGATCACCGGGATCGCATCCGAAGTGGAGAGTTTCAGCGCTACTCTACTTGAACTCATTTACAAGAGTAGGCACACTGTGGGTTCGTCTTGGTACTTCGGTTTGTCTTGCCCTTCAGACTAGTTCACGCGACATACTCTGTGCTGGACTCGGTACATCAGGGTACATGTCTCGCAACTGGCATCATTGGTGCCTTCTGTACCGTCTCCTTAAAGTTCACCTGGTGCAGAGCTGTAGTTTGGCTATGGTTAATTGTACAAGGCAAGAAAAGCCGTAACCGGGCTACCTCGCTGTTTTCACCCTATCTTCACGCAGTTCAGTTCACTTCAGTTGATAAACCATGAGCTCTGCGTCGCTGTGCTACTCTGTCTACTCAATTTGGATTCGGGAGTTTTCACTCATTGCCATTTCAAAGATGTAAGGAGGAATGACACGCTTGGGTGGCCATGACGTACTCCTCCTGTCATGATGAGCTTAGGAAAAAGTTCATGCTAAATCTATACGTGACAGAACAGACGTGGTACGGGTTTTAGGATGACATGAATTTTCTCGGACACCACTAGCATTGATCTGCAGAATCAAAGAGCCTTAGAGTGAACGACCGTGCTAAGCTGTTCGTAGGCATGCTAATTTTAAGGCACCTGATGTAAACGAAAGATGTATCAGTGCACTCTCTATTTGCTCGGAACTGAGCCTGACCTTTTGCTTATTCATCTCACCAGCGTCACTGCGTCATCGCAACTGGATGTGCGTCGGTTTTTTTGGAAACATCGGAATTTGAATTAGCACCATGCCTTTTACAGGACACCTTTTTAGCCCTTTTAAGGATTATAATGTCGTTTGACAACCGCCAATCACAGCGCACTTCTGCATTACGCTAAAGTATCGAAAAACACAGCCATCGCTTTCAATAGTGTCTCACGGCCGTCTTTCGGTAATGATGTTGGATGTTCACTTGAGCCAAGTACCTTGTTTCCCCTTCAGCAGCACTAGCTCGTGTAGGATCTAGTCAATAGTTGGAGTCGTGTCATCGTTTGCTTTTTGTATTAGTAGTAGGATGGGAACGCCTTTATCCCCCCATTTTTGCTGTTGCGTTTGCATAGTACGCTGTCCCTCATTTTATGTCCTCTCGTTAGTTGGATCATTATGTTTACAAGGCTTGGAGCTTAAGTTCAAAGCACCGTTCTACTAGTGCACTGTATATGCTAGTATTTCTGGCCCATCTTTTCGACAGACACGCACACATGTGCTATCTTGATGACTTTAATTCCATTTCACTCACGTGAGTGGATTCACGGCACAGCAGTCCAGGCGTTTGGCTTGCAGGCGGGTTCGAGTTCCCGCTCGTGCCTGGGTTTATGTTCCCTTGCTGTAACTCATCTCGCGTACGACCGTCTATATTTGGACCTCAGCCAGGCATCATTACAAAGTACCGGTGTATTACTAAAGCCGCTCATTTGAAGTGCCGCCACTAGTGTTATGAGAACTGAGTTTTCTAACTCCCTAGTCACCCAAACATTTTCTGAACACGATAATTTACTTACTGTTGATGAAGCGTTCTGTGCATCAGTTTGAGACTTCACATTTCTTTTATCTTCCCACGTCATAATAGAGCGCTGGAACATCACACTCTGCTGCTACCGCAAACACGTCGGCAATGCGGAACTCCACTTTTAGGCCCCAAGTGTCTATAGCCGTGAGCGGAACGTCTGCCGAGAACACCACTTCCTTCACGGCTGATCTCTCGATGGACGTCTCTCGATCCTCCGTGTCTTCTGCATGCACCCACACCACGATTCCCGGTCAAAGTATGCCGAGTATGGGCTCTTCCACCCTCTCTCAATCTTCGCAGTCCGGTTTAAATGCATTTGGCTTTGGCTTATTCACTGGCTTACGCACACCGTTGCCGAAAATTCGAAGGAAACCGCGCCCTCCAACTCCATCACCTTCACCTCCTCCCTGCCCAAAAGCGCCTTTAAACATGCCCCTGACACGCCCAAAGGCACATCAGTCAGACCCACGACATTCCGCTGTCCACCACCGGACACCTCGGCGTAGCCTTTCTTCTACTGACGGTACATCATCAGGTGGCGCAAGCGCTCCTGCATCTGATGGAGAGTATAAGTGGAATAACGAGGATCGTGCTGATGCAAGAAGTAACGTTTTCCGCTTAAAATACTTGCCAGTTTTTGCGATCTTTTTAAAGTCAATCCTTGTTTATAAGGGATCAGATGACGCAGTCTTCACTTGACTATTTGTGTCGATTCTATTTTCATCTGTTCGCCGTCCCGCAGTTTTTTACTGCGTTGATTTAATTCGTCTGTTTACTTGGTTTTCGTCTCCTCCTGAGGATATATGGCCATCAGTTTTCTTTTGGAAACACTGGCTTTTGTGATAGGTTGTTCCCCCGATCTCAATGTTATAATCCCGTTTATATTCGTCCGTGTTGCAACTTGAACTCGACCATGATGTCAACATCCTTATGGACTCTTTTTATGCACAGCCTCGGCCTCTGAAACTCTTCGAAAATCGGACGCGGATGACCGATCACAACTTGTTTCCGGTAGATCTCACCGCCGATTTGCCGGTCATGATTGGCCAAGAAGTGATGTCTCCAGTACATCCAGTTCTGTTTCAAGGCGACTCTCCCTCACATCACCGAAACATAGCCCGTCCGGTTCATTGTCTGGATCTCCAAACCGCTATTCTTCTCCAACTAGTATTTCGGAAGGGGACAAGCTTCCTTCTGACCATCTCAATGGGAAACCGAAAAGCCGCTCCAAAGGGACTGTTCGCGTATCAGACGTTTTCGCCCCAAGGTATCTTTTGCCTGTCGTTTCCTTTGCTTTAATTCCTTTCTAACCGCTGTGTTGGTAGACGCATGCAACCAGGTGCTATGCATGCGTACCGTTTGCGATCACGGCAGTCTTTTGTGGACTTTTCTGCTTGGATGGATTATGCCAACTACACCAGTCGACACTACCACCCACTCTTTCATTCTCATAGCGTTATTTAGATATACTTCGATTGCAGTGCATTGTTATATTTGGGAATGCGTCCACCATAGTGCCCTTGGCAACATTTCAACTGGACTGGAGTTTTAAATGAGTTATCTGTTCATATCATTCACCTTTTATATGGTGACGTCGCTGCGCTAGATAGACTGTGTTATTTTCCTCTCCAACACAGTTCGGATGGTGAATCTTTCGCTCAGTCTCCACGTCCTTCTGTCGGGGGTACTACCTCTCAGGTCGACGGAGGCAGTTCAGAGGAGTCCACCGAACCATTAGCCAATGAATCTGAGGCTGAACGCCTAGTTAAATCTGCGTCCGATCCTTTTCCGGAGACTTCACCCCGACTATCTGATGTACAGTCATCATTGGCGAATGTCTGTGATATGCAATCCGCTAGTGGTCCTCGGTCTCCTCTCTCCGGCGAACCTGATCGAAGCCCGGAAAAGCCTTCCTCAAAGTCGTTGAGCTCAGATAACTCCTTGTCCTCTTTGGATGATGAGGTGCGTATGCTCCTTCTTGATTAGGGCGTCGTTAGATACCGTTTCACCCATTTCACTTTGTTACCAATTACTCTGGTCTCTGCAAACCTCACCGTGATGCTGTTCTTGTCACTGTACTATCTCTTTCAATCAGGCATTGTTCCACTTCGACTGTTCTGTCTCCAACTCGGTTCCATGCGTTTCTACTGGTTTATATCACTGGGATGCATTGTTGCATAGTCATCGTTGCAAGATTATAACACCATCCATATGATCGGATCGTAATCCCGAATGGACAGTATAATTAACAACATCTTGCTTAACTTTCAGACTGACACCGCAGTGCTTTCACCAAGGGTGAGTTCGCCTCCCAAACATGTTGCTGTGGAGTGTACTCAACAACTGAACTATTTATTTTGTAGGTGCACCGCTTTTTGTCTTCATTCATGGCTCGATGAATCCATTTTTATTCTGTGACATCAGGGTTCTCCACAACCTCAACAAACCTCTTCCAACCGTAAAGGATACAGCGTCTCCACACTTGAACTAGAACGGAGTAAGCGTGTAGCTAAACGCAAAGTCCGCCCTCGTCGAAGGTCTCATAACGCCTCCGGCACCCAACGTGGACGTGGAAAGTCCCGCAAACCGTTGCTGTCAAATGCTCCCCGTGCCCCTTCGTCACAGGAACGTCGGTCCTACAGGCGCTATAATCGCACTCGGCACTCGGCCAGCTGTACCTCAATGGATTCGCAGTCATCTTTGGTATGTATTTAGCGCCGTTTTATGCCCTATATTTCACTCTTCCTTGAATCCTTATCCCCCATTATTTTTAATGAACATATACTACTGGTTCAGAATTAAGTAACTACTTAGAATTATAGCGCTGTATCCATTGTGAAAACCACGCAGTCTTAAATCACCGGTATTTGATGACAATCTTTTCTGCTAGACTGGGATAATTCCCGAATAGAAATAGCGCCTCGATTTCGGATCCAGGCATTTAAATAAGGTAAATGCCCTTTATCTTAGTATTTTTCGTTAAATTATGTTCAGGTAAACGACTATCATCCAGTGCGGTAGATCCAGTTTCCGTGATTCGCGTCTCTAGGAGGACAATAAGTGGCATTGGTAGGAAAACGAAAGCGAAGAATATGTTGTTACAAAATAAGTGAGTAAATAATGATACCGGAAACAGGTCCATGTGACATAAATGCTTTTCAGGTTGCCCTCAGCATTCAAGCTTCTAGGGAGTCGTTTTAGAACGTTCTCAGACGCTATATTTCGATGCAAACTCAACCGGATGGTGCTCTTTTGATAGAAAAATATCATACCGAGGCAATGAACTGTATGTAGTAGTCTCCTGTTCACGTTTATATATCCCAGGGGTCACCAAACCACATCCCACGGGCCGGACCCGGCTCGCGCACTGTGCCGGAATTTGCTTGATAAAGCGTATGAAACACGAGATGTTACAGTTTACTTTTGGCACCGCATGTCACTGTTGAAACACTAGCGCTGACCGGCACATGATTGCTACATGGGACACCGCACTACCGTACTATCAGTGACCCCACATTGTTGGAACACTGTTGGGGTTTGAGTAAAGCGTTTCCACTGGAGTCTAATCAACAAACAAGACTGGAACTGGATAACGGAATTATTGACACAATTAGTAATACCAAAACAAAAGGTATCAGCAGTACGCCCGTACGCAGTACCGATTCTTTGCTGCTGCGCAATCAGCAACAGTCGCGCGTGAACTAAGGATAGTTCAAAGATCGCCCGGTCCCTACGCAGGTTCGAACCAGCGCTGTCGGAATACAAGGCAGGCTTGTGGTCCTTAAGGCTACGGACAAACATTTTCGAAACCGAATGACGTGATGTTAACGCATCCAATGTGACTGACTGATGAACGTCTGAAAGCAATCATCCTGATTGGATACGGCTATTCCGAATTTTTTGCAAACCAAGCTTCAGTTACACAAATTTCGAAAATATTGTTGCAAGGTTTTTGCGATTCGAATATGTGCACATTAGGTAAGATGCAACTATCTTTTAGCTATCCTTACCTTCTTTGGTAGCTGTTCTGTTTTGCGCATGACAGACCGCTCACCTATGATTAATATAGCATACTGAAATTTGGTTTTTATTTGTTTACCATACCTTTTATTTCAGCTTGCACATATTGCGTAACGCGATTATGCGGCTGGCGCTCATCATTTTTTCAGTTATTTGGCACATTTGAAAAGATTTGGTGACCTGCTGATGTAGTGGTGTTGTCATGTTCCCTTTGCTAATTCACAGCCTACGTATAAAATTTCGGGGGGGGGATTTGGCCTCTATTTATAAAACGAATAAACGAAAGGTGCATGAATTGAATAATTGGTCAAGTCAAGAACGTGCCTTATGCACCAGGACGAGTAAATATTCAGACAGAACCCACACGATTTTAGCGCTGCAGCATAATATAATTGTACTTCAAAAAAGATGGATTAATAATTGGAAGAACACAGGACTATCATGGCATAATCTGGTTGGTTAGTTCTCGGACGACTTTGTTAGGGTCTAGCAAACGTTAGGGTCGTGTCCGGGCATCTCTGGCTATCTGACGAGGTCGACACACTTTCCGATAATACACAATAAGGAGAGAGACTTGTGCCGGTAATTACTGTTGACGCCAGCCTCTTGCAAGAATTAACATGACTGGACACAACTATATCAACAAAGTCAGCTTTGACACGCTGCTACATCTCGAAAAATGTTTTAACGACCTGGAGATTAGTCGGAAGTGATTGCCGAGTAAACCGGGAAAAATCACCGGTAAGCAGTACGCTCTGTGTGGAAGAACACAGGCAGTAACAAAACTAACTATTAAACCATGGGCTACAGAGAAAACTCGCCGAACTTTCCCGAGTATTTCGTTCATATGGTACGCCCAAGCTTAAGCATAGATAAGCATGGCACTTAGGTACTTTGCTGGTGTAGAGGAGTGCAACTCCTCACTGTGTGTGTACTTCCGGGCACTGCTGAATAAGCTGTTGTTATCGATTTCCTCTGTGAATTGAAAAAAACGACATAATTGCATTTAGGTGCGTTAAGTGATAACTCGTGGACTTTTGATCAAAACGTGGAATTGTTAAGAATATCTTGTAATCTAACTGAAGAGGTAGTGGTCGATTGATTGATGCCCAACACAGTGAGATCTGCGTACTACAGCATTATCGCCTCCATAGGAGCCTGGTGTTGAGCTGACATAAGTGTAAAGTAGTAATGGTGACAATAGCTCCCTGAAGAACACCGGTGTTTGTGATTAGAGGTGAGAAGCTTTTGCTTCCAAATCGGGTAATCTGAGCACGATAGGGAAAGTAATCTCTCAACACAAGAACGAGTAGATGATTTAACAGCACTTCGCGGTTTACGCAGCCACATGCGTTGCTGTGATCCAGAAAACAGACTTGATTCTACTGTACGGTGATGACAAAACCGATTGCACAACACTACGTCTTGAGCTGACCTCGAACCGCCATAGGCAAATTGAATGGAATCATTGCACTGCTGTTTTGTTAACATCCTTCCAATAATGTTTTTTTCGAACACCTTTAATGCTATCGAAATACGAACAACCGGTCGATATTTGCTTTAGCCCGTTTAATATAGGTGATGTTGACGCATCTCCAGCCGTCGGCCATTTTATGTTCTTGAATGCATACTATATATAAATTAACCAGAGGTTTAATCGGAAACTCAGCACATTTCTTGAACATAACGGAAGGCAGTTTGTCTGGACCACATGCTTTGCCTGAGTAAAGCTGTGTACAGTGCCGCTGTCAACAGGTGGCAGTGAGTCTGTCGACAATTTAGACCAGACATAGAATGATTAAGGAATCGGATTGGTATAGCAGTTGCAGAAGTCAAGGTTCAGTTTCTCCACATTTACGTCGGAGGGTGACACACTTCAAGTTAGCCCGCTTAGTTGTTTTAACATCCTCCAGTGTTCAAGGCAGCTACTATTCCTCATCATCATCATTATACACGTCAGCTAGAGGTGGGAAACACCTCAGCTACTGTGCCGCAATACATAAATGAAAAAGAAAAAGAAATACAAAAGTTGCATGCCAGCTGAGCTACCAGCAACGGATAGGTATCGTTCTGGTAAGCTACCAGCCGGCTACTAGGCATAAAGGAAACATTGTGCTTTACGCTAAGAAATGAGATCGTAGGTGGAGGGGGAGACTAAAAGGGATGAGCAGGAACGCCACTGAGGTCGGCTCCTTGTCATGTCAGCAGTTGTATCCAGCCAAACGTGTTCACCGTCTTTTGGACCCCAACCAGGGAGCCGTGACGCTCCAACCGAGGCCAGCTCCGAAGTGAGGGCCTTCATTCCTCTTGACCAAGTCATCGCTTGGCCACCCCTCCTCTTCTTCCATCCACATCCCCGGTGAGCAAACAACGCACATCGTGGAAGCCGGTGGGCTGGCATGCGCAACACGTGGCCCAGCCATCGGAGCCTGGTGTGTGAAATGACGGTGCTGAGCGGTTCAGATCCTTTTCCTGTGCCGTAAACAAGGCGTCGAACACGCTCGTTACTCACGCGGTGTTCCCACCAGATGTGAGCCAAACTGCGAAGACACTGATGGTCGAACGTAACTAGCCTCTTCATGTCCGCCGATCTTAGGGGCCAGGTTTCGCAACCGTACAGTAAGGTCGAACGTATCACTGCATTGTATACTCTACCCTTCAGGGCGAGAGTGATGTCGCGCCGCCGCCATAGGTGGCGAAGGTTAGCAAAAGCACTTCGAGCTTTTGGTATACGGTTCGTGATCTCGTCTTCGATCCCAAGCGCGCTGATAAAACTTTCCAGGTAGTTGAATTTTTGAACGACTTCTAGCTGATCCCCACCAAGGGTCAGTGCGGGAGGCGATCCGTGCCAATCTTGGAGGAACGCTTTGCATTTCGATGGTGCAAAGCAAATCCCGAAGCGGGTGACAGCCAGTGCTAATCTGTCCAGCGCGGTTTGGCACGTCTGGGAGCTGTCACAAATGAGGGCAATGTCGTCTGCATACTCCAAGTCAAGAAGTCGTTCTCCTGGGAGTAGCTCCACTGCTTCCAATTCATATCCTGTAAATGCAATCTCCATGACTTCGTCAATAGCGAAGTTGAAGAGGAAAGGTGACAACGGGCATCCTTGTCTCACACCGCTGGAGATATTGAAGGGTGGCGACAGCTTGCCGTAAGCTCTCACTCTGCCCGTGCTACGCGCGTATAATGCTCGGATAATATTTACATATTTCTCGGGCACACCTTTCCTGAGTAGACAATCCCAAAGGGCACATCGATCAACCGAATCGAAGGCACTTTTGATGTGGAGACACACGACTACGGTGGGCCATCAATATGTGTGACGGTGCTCCAATAACTGACGCAAGGTGAAGATGTCGTCGATGCAGCCGCGATCTCAGACGAAACCCGGCTTGCTCCTCACAAATCTGGCTTTCACGAGCGCCAGTCAGTCTGTGAAGGATTATGGAGGCGAGTAATTTGGAGGCGATGGAGATCAGGCTGATTCCTTTATGGTTGCCGCATTCCGAACGCGAGCCTCCTTTAAAGATGGGAACAATAACGGAGCGGCTCCAGTCGGTTGGGGCAGTCTCCTGCTCCCACAGTTTCACTAGTAATTCATGTAAAGCATCAACAAGAGCAGAGCCTCCGAATTTGAAGAGGGCTGGAGGAAGATCATTTAGTCCCACGGTGGGTGGATGCAAAGGGACAGCCCACGAAGCAGGGCGATCACTGGCCGGCGAAGAATCGAACAATTCTAGCCGATTAAATTGCTTTTCAAAATGCTCAGCTCAACGCTCCAAACGTTTTGACAAATTGTGGATAGGCTGTCCACTCTCGTCACGTATATTTTCACTAACACCAGGTCTCCTGTTGCCCGTTTCCCGTACCAGACGGAATAACTTACGATGGTTACCAATTTCAGCGGCCACTTCCATCTCTGACGCACGGTGAGGCCACCAAGATTCGCGGACTATCTTCACGCTAGCACGATTTCTTGCCTGGAGCTCTTTGCCAGCTTCAATGTGTTCGCTTCCAGCCGGGATATGCCGACGAGCATCGATAAGTTCCAGAGACTGCGAAGAGACCCAAAACCATGTTGGCTATTAGACACCACATGAGGATTTGCCCGCTGCTAGTAAGGTCTGGTGAGCATGTGACCAGTGACCATCAGTTGTCTCCATTGAGCGCTTACTCAACTCGCATGTCAGTGTACTTCGATACGCATTCAGAACAGCTGGTTTTTTCAGTATATCCTGAGCGTACACGTTGTTGCGACGGCGCAACTCCTCCTTTTTAAGAACAGTGGCTTTGGTAAAATGTTGTCTTTTCTTTCGTATGCCTTCTTTTGTCTACGCAGGTTATTCAAGTGGGAAGGAGAGGACATGTCCGAACAGATGAATACGGTTTCTAATAGACAGCATATGTCAAGACACAAGTTCAGGTAGCTTGTCAACTGATAGCACTATGTGGATAGATCACTGTCAAAAATAAACTGAAATTAGTTGTTGATAACATTTATCGTTTTTGGTCAATATTGTTTGCGGAACACCACCATCTGAGGCCGAGGTTGCCCACGAGCTTCGCCTCTTAAAGCGCTACAAAGCCCCTGACCCAGATGAACTCCCTCTGGCTTTTTTCTAAGATGGAGGCATATCACTTTTTCATGAGTTAACTTCTCTCATCCTAGAGATCTGGGTCACTGAAGTTATCCCATCTGATGGGAGCCTAGCGGATATCGTGCCCGTCTTCAAAAAGGGTACCCGAACTGACTGCTTCCAACGTGCTCGCAACTCTGCTTCTAAGGAGGCTCAGCCTGGTACGCGAACGGAACATACGTGAAGAGCAATTTGGGTTCCGCTTAGCTCGGAGTTGGATCGATCACATCTTCACCCTCCGCCAAATACTCGAGCGTCGTCACATTTGGCCAGCCAACGATCGTTGTCTTCTTAGACATATGAGCCGCGTTTGACTTATTCGACACAGATGCTCTGGAATTGTCTATTGAGAAGGAGAGTTCCCGAGAAGTATGTCACCAATCTTCAAGCTACATACTCTCAAACTTCGGACCGAGTCGGGTGTACGGCCGACTTTCGCCCCCCTGGGTTCGCCAGGGCTGTCCTATATTATCTTTCCTCTTCAATTTTGTGATCGAAATGACCATGAATGATTCGATTCTTTCAGACTATTTTGTAGTCGAAGTTCTGTTAGGCGACCGACTGACAAACCTGGAGTATACGAATAAAATAGTTCTCCTTGGGTCTGCTGCATTCGCTACGCAAACACTACTGAATAGACTGACGCATAGCGCTGCACGCTTCGGCATGTACTTCGCACCTTCAAAGTGCAAAGTGCTATTGCAGGACTGGGCCGACACACCTCCGGTTTTAGCTACTTTCGCACAGCAATTGGAACTACTGGATCGGTCCACTTACCTTGGTAGCTGTGTCACTTCTGGTAGTCACATCACTGAAGATATTACTTCGCGTATCATCAAGGCCCGTGTGGCTTTTCGTAGACCCAATCATCTATGGAGACGACTGGGTATCAGCCTGTCATTGAAAGTTTGGGTGTATAACGATGGGGTAAAGCCGGCCTTACTGTATGGACCAATGACTTTGCCAGTTCGCAGTGAAGACAACAAACGCTTGGCCATGTTTGACCACCGGTGCTTACGGAGTATTGTTCACGTCTGGTGGGAACACCGGGTGAGCAGTGCTGACGTCCGCGAGTTGACTTTTAGAAAGAAGCCTTCTGGCACCTCACACGAATCTTTGCTAAATGTTACTCGCTTACGTAGGCTACGTCACATTCTCTGTATGCCTGTTGATCGGTTTCCTCGGCGGGCATTATACGCCGTGGCTACACCAAATTGGGCGAAACCTGTAAGTGGCCAGTCCATAACATGGCATCGAAGCATGAAGGAACTGACTGAGAGACTTGGTCTGAACGGCGCGTGCCGACTTGTACGACGGGGTCATCTGGATGGTCTACATCAATGGTTAGAGATATGGTAGAAAGAAAGCAAAGGTATCAGCAGTACACCGACACTCAGTTCCGACCCTGCTGCCGCGCAGCCATCACCGGTCGCACGTAGTCTGAAAATAATGCGAAGGTCGCCCTGCCCCTACGCAGGCTCGAACATGCGTCGTCACACTGTAAAACAAGCTTGTTACCTTTAGGCCATGGGCCAAGTCACGATGGCAGTGGCGTTCGTGCATTCGTGTTCTTTCGTCTGGTTGCTTAATTTTCGTTACATTCTGGTGATTCTAACGCATTTCTTTCTTGTTTCTGTTTTCTGTACACTCAGTTTGCACCCAAACCCACTACCCTACCGTTGTTATTTATTGTTATTCTTACGGTGTGAATCGTGGCAGCTGGATCCACCGCACTTCGGTGCTCGGATCATAGTGGTTGTAATGAACTGTGTGATTCAGGTGTGCCTCTTCTAATCGACTCGTTACAGATCCGAGCTGAAGTAGATGAATCATACCTCGTAGTATCCGAGCCCACATTCAGCCACTTGCGATCGCTTGGTAGCAAACGTAGGCAAAAAGTACCAGCTTATCAATGATAATCTTTTCTTTTCTTTCATCTTTACGACAATTGCTGCGGAATAGGCAGATTATTTGATAAGGTACTCTAAAACTACTTTCTTTCTGGGAAGTACTTTACATTGTTGCATCTTCCGCGAACATTAATTTACGCTTCGGTGTATTTGAAAAAGAAACGGACCCACCACAAACTTCCTCACGGTGGGTATCGGAATTATTTTCGAAATAGTGCAGCAACACAACACGCCTAGTCTGGGCTTACAAACTCTGACTAAAGCAACCATCAACGACTGTCTTTGATGTTGCCTCTAGAGACTTAGTTGTACATCTCCCTTCTATCAAATCATCGACCTTAACGAGGTCGGAATGGTGCTCCTGCAAGGCAGTCGACGTCATAAGCAATGTCGAAAGTTCTTTCAGGATTGCGAACAACTACAGTCGTCTGTTTACAATGTCTTTGATGTCTACTGAACTTGTCGCGCCTCATGGCATTCCTACTCTACCAATCTCTCTTTTTAACGCCCTAAGTACTCCTTTTTGCCCCCTTTTTACGCATAACTATTTCTGCTTTGAGAAACGTGGGAACTGTTATCGGAAGCACTGCTAGTTTTCCAATGACCTATCCCATCAACTTTAGACTATTCGGCAATCCTTGTCACTTCATTTTTCTCAGAATGATTCTCCTGTCGAAGACAGTTACATTTCCAACCGCGTTCACAATAATGACTTGACAAGTGTTCCTCCCGAGCATCAGTGGCCTGCGCTAAGATCTTCTTTAACTGCATCTGATGGCGATCCGCAAACAACTCATGTACAAACGTCTCGAATGACCCATTCACAGCCTATCCAGACTGTTCCTGGTTATGTCTGCGCTTCGCCCGATGGCTGTCAACCTGTGGCTCAAAACAAAACGAAAACCTCGCAGCCATCAAGGGGACCATCTTTGCTAACGGAGCCAACCATGGACAGGAGTGCGTATGATGCACACATGGAAACTAGGCGAATACCCTATGTACGTCCGTCCTTACTTTTTACCTTCTTTTTACTCAGCAGTGGTTCTGTCAAACTTCATTACCACATGTTTTACCCATCACTGTTCAGAGTGACGCGGTAGGCTCGATTTGCTTTGTGAAAGGCGACCCCGGGTTTCTGACATCCATCGACTTCAGCGAAGTAATTTCGGGCATCTATCCCTCTAACGTTTCCCATCTGGTTTCTAGTTAAGTTGCATACAGTTATTTAAGTGATATCGTTGTCTGTAATATAGTATGCATTCTTTCGAAGCACAATGGCAGTTGACGGTTCATTACCATGCGCTACCGCTGCAATTGGTTTGGTGAAGCCTTTAGGTGATGACTAGTTGGTGACATGGCAAAAAGTCACATAGAAATCGACCGAGTAACTTCGTTAGTTTGGTACCTACGGTTTTCTTGGAGATGGTCAATCGGTTAATTCACAATGGGCCACATCAGTATTTATTGACTTTGGGTCATATGACGCCGCCGAGACGCCATTAGCGCTCTCACGTTCGATATTTTGCATCTGCCTGTTGACTCCGTCCAAATTAATTTTATTCGATTTTTCTCTCAGCACTATTCTTCTTGCGTTCCTTCTGCATTCTGCCACCGTTTCCTACCATTTTTAATTTTTATCGTTATTTTGGCGACGCGCAGTTCGGTGCACTTGCCGAAGTGATTAGGTGTCCGTCTCATAACCCACCGGATCACCACTTCGAATCAGCGCACATATGGGTAACCTTAGCAGTATCTTTAGCCCGCGCGCACAGCTGGTGGTGATGGTTATGCGGCAGAGAAGCGTCGGTGCGGCCTACTAGCGTGCTGCTGATGCCCTTCTTTTGCCTCTGTGCACTTCGGTGCCCGGATCACTGATCTGGCCTCTTCTGATGACACCTGCGGCGCTCTATGCTCGCGGCTATTTTCGATTCGCTGAATCTAGCACGTTTACTCGCTAGTAGCCTGACGCTTTGCTGCATTACTGCTTACTCAATGAGATGCACCGACGTTGGGTATCCACATTGAACTCGTGAATCATTTCACTGATTTCATTCATCAGCCTCTTGTTAGAATATCGCATGAAGATCTTGATTATGACAGATCTTAATTCTTGCGTCAGTGTAATGTCATCGGATTGTGAGTTACCGACAGTCAGCGATACGTTGTGGTCAATTTGCATGTTTGATGTGAGCTGTTCAACACTGTACCATTGCACATTGGCATCGCTACTTGTTCCGTCCAAAAGGCATCAGCAGTACGCCGGTACGCAATACCGACGCTACGCCGTCACACAACCACCAGCAGTCACGCGTGTGCTAAGGATACTGCAAAGGTCGCCGGGTCCATACGCAGGTTCGAACCCGCGTTTTCGGATTACAAGACAGGCTTGTGATCCCTAATACGACGAGCCGACCTGTTCCGTCAAACAGAGCACTCTCTTGAGCTCCCTGTCGCCGGCTCCCTTGCGCGGATGCTTGGCATCTATGGCCTCTCTGTATGAGCATATCTTCTAAATGGCGTCGTCCCCGAATATATTTCATCTGTTAGCACACACTTCCATCATCCCACTGTCACTTCCTCTATGACCCAAATCGAATGGCGTAGTTAGTATATCGGTACATTCATTACTTTGCTTGCATACCTTGAAAGCGCCCTCTGTTATATTACCGAAGCTTGTGCCACTTTATGCAGCGGCCGTCTCTCGTATCGCAATTTAAACAACAGTTGTCACGCACTCACAGTCAATTCGTTCCCATAGGAAGCACCCTGCTTTCTCTGGCTTTTCTTTTGGTCATTTGGTCAACTAACCTTGATTGTTTTTGACGGATCGGCTAACCTCATCGCGTCGGACAGTTCGCTTTTTTAAACGGCCATTGTTACGTCTTTGCACATCACCTTCACATCGTTGCCCGACTCCTTGTTCTTACTCAGAAACCTGGCAAAGAGAATGCGCGGAAATCAACCAGCGTGCTAAGACATCTGGAGGAATCTTTGCTCTCACCACCCACTGAGCAATGGAAGGGTCACGAGGACGATACGGAGAGCGCATCGGACGAATCGACAGAAATCATTGATGTGAGTGTCCTTGCCATTCGCATTCGCTCGTTCTCTTTCCTTTCGTTTTCATGCACCGTTTTCTTGACGTTTTCTCAACCATGCTCTCTTTTCTATCCTAGACGGTGCACAGACCTTACTGCTGGCCTGAACAACTGATGCAAGAACACAACTATTTCCATCTTCCAACGATTGGGACAACTATCAAATATCGTTCACGTAGATCCAGGCGAGGGTACAAAGATCACGCCTCCGACCTGCTGCGCAACGGTATGAAACCAGAATTGCAGCCGTCTGATTTCGGCCACCGCAGTCGTAAGCGGCCGTGGCCACTAACGGCTTTGGATGATAGCCTGGCCTCTACAGTCGAGGCGGAGTTTCGGTTGCATTCGCAAAGATTTAAGGATAAACGTGTGGCAACCTCCTTATCAAACGAGTTAACAGACCGAGATGATCCCTCTCTCTTGTCTTCGTCTAACTATGTGCCAACATCCAGACTTGTTACTGAGAATCGCTCTAAAGCTCGAATACGTGGCAACCGCGAGTTGGCCAGCCTATTCACCCCTGTTGTGAGGGCGGACCTTGAGCGTGATGTGGTGGTCGAATCGTGCAAAAAACATGTTTCCAGTCCACCTTCTCACGTGAAAGTTCCTCCCCCAATTTTCAAACCCAGGACGGCAGAAGAAGAGAATTACGTAAGTTATTCTTGCAACCAGCGTTCACACTACATCTGCGCGCATTTTTTCCAACTAACGTCCTGTCCTGTTGTATACCTTCATTTTCGTTACCAGGTTGCGTGTCCCGTAACGTATACTCTGAGGAGCCCACAACCACTACCATTGCTTTCTCATTGTGACCTGAAGTTTATCACAACTTGTTGATTTCCTTTGGCTCCTTTCTGAGCACTTGACATCTATGAAAGCAGAATGGAACTCCACAGTAGCATTGAGCCAGTCTAATCAATCAGCTACTAAACTGCGAGTAATATCGTCTCATCGGACCCCGGCGCGCCCACCTGCTTTTGTTGTGTCCGCTAACAGCCCTGCTGGCACATGCACCATCTGCAAAGGACCGGTACACTCTAGTAGATTCCTTATAGCCATCACATCAATTTTAACCACACTAACCACATTCTCCCATTTTGAAACACCAAGCATTTGGTATGTATATATGCTTGGCGGCATCCGACTCCGGATTTGCCTGTCACTGCAGGCCTACATAGGAAAGTCATACGACGCCTGCGTCTGCAGAATGACCATGAATGGCTTGCGCTGCACCACGCAGAGCTCCATCCACACACCCCATATCCGGTGTAAACCCGAAGGAATAAGACCGGGAGGCATGTATATGGGAGCCTCATTACATCAACGGAGCCGGCCTACACTCTTTCAACATGTACAGCGGCAGCATTTTTGTCTATGTGAGGAACCATACCGGCCCGTAGCTTAAAGGTAACAAGCCTGTCTTGTACTCTGGCGACACCGGTTCGAGCCTGTGTAGGGGAGGGGCGACCCTCGTAGTGTCCTCAGCCCACGTGCGACCGGTAGTCGTCGCGCAGCAGCGAAGCGTCGGAACTGTGTACCGGCGTATTGCGTATGTAGGGAACCATGCGTACCAGACATACACAAAGCGGTGGCTGGGCCGTTTACCGCTCCACACTGAATGGAACCATTCTTTGAGCCTAGCACGGCCACGATTACCGTGCAACCGGTCGCTCCAAGTAACTACTAATTGTCTTCAGGAGCCAGTTTAATCGAGGTAACGGTTTTTCGACAGGTGGGCACCTTATCAACGTTCACATCAAGCGCAGCCACGTCGGTGCTGTCAGTCAACAGCCAACGCTTGAAACATAAGAAAATAAACACTCACACACGATCGTGGACTCCGATCGCGCACTTGTATACACCGATCTGCTGGTGCGTTGGGACGGACGTCTGCAAAGACGCTGTGAGAACATAGATACTCGCCAACTGTAGCAGCAAAATGTGTTGAATGCGTCTGTAGGACGCCAGCATCTGGGTCGAGTAAGCGTTCTATGCACAAAGTAGAAGGCCACTGGTCGCATATTCACCAGACCTTTTTAGCAGCAGGCGTGTATTCATGTGGCAAATCAAGTTGTCGAGCTGGTCATTGAGTCTCTACGCAGTCTCTGGGGCTTTTGGATGCTCGCCGACAAATTCCGGATTGAAGAAAATACAACGAGACACGCAAAGGCCTCAAGGAAAACTGCGTGTTTACCTGAAGAGAGGCCGCAAAGCCTGGTAGTCTCATCGTGCGTCCATGAGAATAGCCGTCACCTTGGTTACTCTGTCTGATACGGGAAGCGAGCATCATGAGACCTGGTATTAGCGAAACGTGAGTGAACATCCAATCCACATCTTGTCAAAACGATTGGAGTGTTGGGCTAAGCACTTTCAAAGACAATTTAATCGGCCGGAATAATCAGATTTCCCGCCGGCCAGTGATTGCCCTGCTTCCTAGGCTGTCCGTTTGGATCCATCCTCCCTCTCAGAAGTCGAACGTGAGATCGGAGTTCTGAAGTTGAATATGGCAGTGGGACAAAATGACTTTCCCCCAGCTCTTTTCGAATTCAGGTGACCTCTTCTGGATGACTTACGCGAGTTAATAATGAAACTGTGGGGACAGGATACTGTCCCAACTAACTGGATCCGCTCCATTATTATACCGATCTTCAAGGGAGGCTGGCGTTCGGAATGCGGCAGCCACAGAGAAATCAGACGGATCTCCACTGCCTCCACGTTACTTGTTTTTTGTCTCACTACGCAGATTCCTTGGCATACGTGAAAGCCAGGTTCATGAGGGTTTCGTCGAGGTCATGGCTACATCGATCAAATTTTTAAATCAATTGTTGGAGTACCGTCACATATATTGGCGACCTACCGTTGTTGTGTTTCTCGACATCAAAGATGTCCTCTATTCGGTGAATGAATGTGTTCCTTGGAACTGCCTGCTAAGGAAAGGTGTGCTCGGGAAATATGTAAATGTTATAAGACCGCTTTACGCGTAGCTCTTGCAGAGTGAAGGCTTGCGACAAGCTCTCGTCTTCATTTAGTGTCTCCAACGGTGTAAGATAGGAATGCCCGCTGTCACCACACCTCTTCAACTTGGTTATTTACGTAGTCATAGGAAGCGAACTCCACTTAGGAAGTGCCAAGCTGTTTCCTAGTGAAGTTCTTGATTTGGAGTATGATGACGACATAGTCATTCTCTGTGACGGCTCACAGACGTGCCAAGCAGCACTAGATGGATTTGCACTGACTATCAGCCGTTTAGGTCTTTGCTTAGCATCTTCGAAGTGCAAAGCTTTTCTTCAAGATTGGCAGGGACCGCGTCCCCCGCTGACTCTTGGTGGGGGTCATCTAGAAGTCGTCATAAATTCAATTACTTAAGCAGTTGTATCAACGCCCTTGAAATCGAAGATTGAGGCCACGAACTGTAAAGCAATTGCTCAAGGCGCTTTTGCCACCTGTGGCGCCAGCGTGACATCACTCTCTCCCTGAAGAGTGGAGTTTTCTATACAACTGTACGTTCGACCCTACCGTACGATTGTGAAACTTGGCACATTAGATTTGTAGGCATAAAAAGGCTAGTTACGTTCGACCATCGTTGCCTTTGCAGTTTGACTCATATCTGGTGGAAACACTGAGTGAACAATGAGCACGTTCGACGCCTTGTTTACGGCACAGGAAAAAACTGATCCGTTGAACACCGTTATTTCACGAACCAGGGTCCGATGGCTAGGCCATGTGTTGCGCTTGCCAGCACACTGACACGCACGACATGCGTTGTTTGCACGTCCGGGAACTGAGTGGAAGAAGAAGAGTGGCGGCCAAGCGATGACTTAGTGCAAAGGAATAAACCCCCTTAGCTCAAGGTTGGCCTCGGTTGGATACTCTCGGCTTCCTGGTTGGGGCCCGAAAGACTATGTGCGTGTTTGGCCGGATAAACCTGTTGATATGGCTATCAGGCACGTTCATTATTTAATGACGTTTGTGTTGTGAGTTTCTTTGTTTTTCCCATTCCTGTTTAGCCTCCTCCTCCTCTAATCACATTTCCATTTTTGACACAGTATATAACTTCGCTGCACAATAGCCGAATGCTAGCTCCACGAAACAATGTCCATCCGTCATTGGTGGTTCAGCTGGCGTGCCTCGGTTGCATTTTTTCATTTCTTCCGTATTACGGCACAACGGCCGAGGTGTTTCCCTCCTCTGGCCAACGTGTTAATTACAGGATGATAAAGAGTCCAAGACCGAAACTTTACACTCTTGCGATGTCTTGTTCACGTGAACCGTCCCTCTCAAAAACACGCATATCTGTTCGCGTTTGCTGGCGCGTAAGCTGAGTCATGGAAAGTGGGCAAAATAATGTACAGTCTCGTATACCGTTTTCTCCTATGGAATTGATATCGTTGTGATCCATCTGAGACCACGTTTACATCGGCGAAGAGAGGGTATCAAGTAACCGAGCGTCTCGTCGAATGCTTTTTATCAGTCGGCGATAGAAACAATTTGTTGTTTTCGCACACAGCAAGAAGTCCGTTTTCTTTGCCTGAGCTGCTTTCGTTGAGTGCGAAATGATCACCAAGGTGACGATCACCTTACAATAGGCTACCGACCTGTGCCATGAAGTTCCCAACGCAGACGACATCCAATTAGTTTACACTGCTAAATAACTCATGAAGTTTGCTGTATAAGTCGTTTCTCATTGAATAGCAGCTGCAGTCAGAGTGTAAACGTCTTCTTTCGCGATGTTTGTTGACCCTGCAGGAACCCCAACGAGGAACTGCACACAATCGTATGTCAGTCAGGTTCTTCAGTTCGACCTCGGGTTTGTTACGTCAGCACCAGTCAAACCCGCTGGGAATGCTCCTGTGCTACTATAAAGACGCAGTTGGCATATGTCCCCTTGAACACTGGGATGTGACAACTTAAGGACAACATCTGTGTCTTACAATCGAGTTTTGGAAGGACAGCATGCGTCATTAGCGAGGGGTTCCGGGATACGCACCAGATTGGCCTGTGGTTCAATTTACATAAGTGCCCAACCTCGAGCCATTCCAGGCAGAGCGAAGATGGGGCCCAAAACAGACCATTAGTCGAGCTTTATCGATATCAAAAAATACGTGCGACGGCTCGGTCCGACAGTACATCGGAACCTCATACTAACCCTTCACTGTCGCACAATCACCGGCCGTTACATGTGAGATGGGTTAATGCTGGTTCATTCACGCCTGTGTGCCTAGGCCGGAGGTTGGCACACGCACACATGCTCAAAATAATACAGCCTGTTCAATCTTGCTGGCGTAAAGAATTACTCTGGTCATCGCCGCCCACTACTCGCCGGCGCACCCCATCGTTATAAGCATGCTTGCGCCAGCAGACACCGACAATGTTCATTTGGTAGCGGTGGGAATCCGACTTAAAACGCTTTAACCATGGTTCGACCTGTGCAACATAGACCTGATGGTGTCCGAGACAGGAAGCCACTTAAGCTCCACTCAACTGACTAATCAGGGCGTCGATTCTCTTCCAGATCGCCACATCAGCGGGTGCTTTCCCGTGATCAGTGGCACAGATGGACTGTATGAGTTTGCATTTACTGCTCAAATCTCTTGCCTCGTTTATTTACTGATTCTTCTGAATCCGCCTAACTGTTGTCCAAATAATTAGCAACAATTGCGCCTTCACATCTTCATAGACAATCTATGGCATTTGTACTCTTCCATATCCGAAGAGAGCTTATGACTTCTTAGATCTTGTCTCCTGCGGCATTCTTCGAAAAAATTGCGTCTGTCCATCACTATCATAGAGACGTTGGCACTGAGTTTGCTTGACTTGCAATAATTGGTCCGCGTAGTGTTTTTCGATATCCTTGGAAGTACCATTTAGCATAAATATGGAGCCAATGATGGTACACAGACTTCTGCATGATGCCATTGTCCATTTTCCACGCTAAACCTTATCTCATCACAATATCCCCTTTGGTCGTCTGCTTTTTGGAGGCACCCTCGCCGAAGAGATGAGGCTTCTACCATGTAGTCCACAGGTCGTTTGTTCGACCACGGAACAATCTGGATAGGCTGTGAATGGGTCATTCGTGACGTTTGTACATGAGTTGCTTGCGGATCGCCATCAGATGCAGTTAGAGAAGATCTTAGCGCAGGCCACTGATGCTCAGGAGGAACACTTGTCAAGTCATTATTGTGAACGCGGTTGGAAATGTAACTGTCTTCGACAGGAGAATCATTCTGAGAAAAATGAAGTGACAAGGATTGCCGAATAGTCTAAAGTTGATGGGACAGGTCATTGGAAAACTAGCAGTGCTTCGGATAACAGTTCCCACGTTCCTCAGAGCAAGAATAGTTATGCGTAAAAAGGGGGCAACAAGGGACACGGGTACCCAAGGCCCGCACGCGACTGGTAATGGTCGCGTGGCAGCGAATCATCGGCACGACACACCGGTGCACTGATGATGTGATTTGTTGCTTTTCTTGTCTTGCGGTATAACTGACTGATGAATTCGCCATGTCTGCAAACTTGGGCGATTTGTTGGCCTGTGTAAAACTACCACTCACGTTAGTGTCTCCTACAGTATGTAATGTATCCATTGTCTAAGTTTACGATATGGGTCTGTATTATAGACCTTCCGATCCTTATATGTAGACAGATCCCTTTCAGTTTACGTCTGTTCTCGAATGGACTAACCTTGCTTAAAATGTTTCGGAATACTGGTAGTTCGGGTTGACGATTCAGTTTACAAATCTCCAAGCTCGGCGAACAAGTGAAGTACTTGGTCAGTCTTGCATTTGAAAGTTGTGTGTGTACTTTATATCCTAAGAACTTTTTCCCGCATCACGCTTGTTCTAGGCGCAAATTAATCTTAGACGGTGACATTCTTGAGCTCTTGATTCAGTGTCTGCCAGTCTTTTCGCTGTCATTCTTGATGTATGCATCAAATGCACATTCAATCCATTGAAGTCCTTGTAGCTGCATGATTGATCACATCGACTGATATTCTACTGTGAAAATTCACTATTTCACCACTGATTATGTGTCCCTAGACTTAACTGGCCATATTCCGCACATAAAAGATAAGGAACATCATTCCATGATATTTTACCCACAGTCGTTTGAGGGTACTTCATACTTGAACTGTTGCCACGCAACAGACATTTCTTTGCATGTTTCCATGTGGCCACTAAGGCAGTCGCTTAAATGATCTTATCCAACCAGTTTTCATAATCATTGGAGCCCTTTCGATGCATGTAAATAAGCCTACACTTTGATTTCTCTGCAGATGTCTCCCGTTCCATTATAGACTTTTAACTTGGTCTGTTTTCATTTCCCGATTCACCGTCTTCTACCTGTTTCGGCGTTCAATTCGCACTTGATGTTCTCCTATACGACAGGCTCCTTCACTGATTTGTGGGTACTCTTTTGGTATAGACATTTATATCTTTTTTATGCGTTGCATAGTCATAATTATTCAATTCCCATTCACCGACAGGTGTTGCGCTTGATAACACTCCATGGGTTGGATGCTGAGGATATCGGATTCCTCCAAGCAGCACATACACACCTGTCCAACTGCAGCTCTACCTCTGTTTGCCAATGGTGCGAACGGAACCCCGAACACGCCGCTCTCTTTGCCTTTCCTGACCTCATCTCTCCCAAACTGGTGTCTGCTGTTCGATCCCTTCCTTGGGTCGATCATCCGCCCACACTGATCCCTGACCCAACTGATGCTCCATGCTACCTCAGCCCAGATGGTCGTCTGCTGAAATATTCGGATCTAGATTCACGTATTCATTTCTCCCGAGCCACCCATGAACAAAAATGGCCGTTGCGCGCATGCCAGTCACGATTCTATAAACGTGCTCGAACAGCTCGGTTGGCCCCGGCCCAATCGGTTGTCGGCGCACTGAGTCGTGACCGCAAAGTCTCTCGTGCCCTATTCGGCTCCGACAGTTCGATGTCTCCCGATTCCGGTAATCAGCACTCTTCAGGCTCGGATTCTGAGACACAGAAGACTGCGGAGCCGGACCAGTCACCATTAGCCGCGCGGCCAAAATGGTCAGATGTCGATAAGCAGCTCTACGTGGTATCTGCATTTGCTTCTTATCAGCAATTGGACAGCACACGTGACCCGCTAGCGGATAACGTGGATTTCCACCTTGGGCCAGCCGCATCCCTGCCACCTGTACATTCTTCAGGTTCGCTATACGCTTTGTTCTCACGAGGGCCTATTCGTTTTTTCCGCTACTCTTATACTTCCTATGTGGTCGTTTTGCCGCCTATTTCTAGCCCGGTTTTCCCTAGCGATCTAGTGATGATGTGCCCACTTTATCATAACCGTGAAGCATACGCAATATACCTAAGAAACGCTTGGTCCTTGCTCTTGTGTGTGTATCACTTTACTTTCCTGTTTCCTCGCCTAACCGCTCGTTCATCCTGTGATATAAATTTGCATATTTGTATTCTCAGTTTTGTGTGTGAATTTGTGCAGTTGATGCTATTCACTCGTGATCGCCGTCGTTTGTAAGCGGGTGGAACGGCGCTAGGTACTGCATATCGACGTAATGGCCGTGAGGTGCCGGTAGATCGTCAAGTAAGGGGGAATCAGTTAGATTGCTTCGCGCACGTACCACATGTGCCTGTGCACTGCTTGCCAAGGGTGGCATGGTTTCCTTTATCGTATCTAGAACGATATAGGGTTTGGAGGGGGTACTCGTTAACCTGTTGGTGGCAAATGAAGTCGTTTGCCACTGCTCTGGGTGCTATTGATCCACATCACCTTCCAAGATAAGTCCAATACATCACCCTCTGTTCCACTCGGGATCACACAGGATATGCTCGCAAACAGCACCAACGACACATTTGCTGTCATCTCCTAGCTAGATACTTTTTTAAAGCGTACTCTATGTTGAATTTTCTGTGAAGTAACCTTGATGGTGACATGGGACAGTGACGCCACAAACAAGCTGCCTTATCCATGTGTTATCCCTACACATTGGCCACATGTTCTTTTAGATGTAGGTTGTCCCCATCACCCACACGTCTGAAAAAGCACCAGATTGCCGTTTCGACCTTATGGTTTTCGTCGGCGATGCGCGTTCCTCGGATCATTGTTGGGTTCCAACCCCATGACTTCCGGATGCCAGCGGCTTGTGCCACTATGCCATGGGTGATAGCGGCGGACATGCATCAATGACAGTTGACCACGGTTTAGCGCGGCTCATCCTTCAGTGTGCTGCACAAGCTACTAGCATCCGGATGTCATGAGACTGGAACCCGGCAAAGGTCCGAGGGACGCGCACCACTGACGGGACCCAGAAGGTCCAGACGGCTGTCTGTTGTTTCTCAAGACATCCGACTGAGAGATGATTACGATGAACTACATCTACATTACACCCCGAATCCCTGCTACACATGTTAGTTGCAGCATTGTTAACGAAATGTTGGCGTCTTAGTCTCGACCTTTTTCTTATCTCATTTGGGGTTTCTGTCGCATACTTATTTTCCCCTCCTCCTACCTTTCAATACTGAGATTATGGTTGTTCGGCAATGTAACATCAGTATCAGGTACTGTGATGATCGGACAACACCATACTCACTGCCCTTCACGCTTGTGTCGCATACGCGATTCCGTGCGTTTTTGTGAAACGTGAACGCGTTGCACAATAGTGATGATACCTTTGCACCGTCTGCATAAACATCTTTGCACTATCCTGCCCAAAATTATGACTCCGAGTAACTTAGCAATAGACACCTCTAACATTGCGAATGACTATTAGAAGTTCCTTTCATCATCCTAGGCGGTGATTCCGCAGATCTACTTCCTGATACTTTCCTCTACAGAAAAGCTACTCCAACCAACAAACCCGGTGACTGAAACATTTGATCCCTCAGTTACTAGTTTTCTACAAATTCATTGTACGAATCATTGACTTTCTTCAGGCTGTGCGCGAGCTCAAGGATTTTATCCAATACCTGCTGAGGAGCGGTTCCGTCGTCCTTGGTCTGTCGGTCGCAGTCTTATCGGTGACGATGGCCAGCGACGCCCGATCCCTCTGATGCCTGCCACCGTTGAAGCCCAGCTTGGCGTCAGTGCTATTCTTCAAGGTGACTGGGATGCTATTTTTCAACTTTCACAACTGCATGTGCATTTTCAATAAATGCTTGATCATTGCAATACTATTTTCTGTTGCGAACCAAATTCAGCCATAATGACTAAGATCCTTCCTTTTTCATAATTGCCTATCATGCACATCTTCCTGAGGTTCTACTTACACTCGGGATATAAGTCCGCGATCTGTGCCCATGATATTACCACTGCCTATGAGGTGTGCATCTTTGAGTCTTCCACTCAAGGTATCTTTCAGTATATTTCACTCCCAGCCTACGTGAGTTCATTCAATCGAATAGCCGTAGTTATCACCTAAAAGTACTGTACACCCCGAGTTATTATTGGGGAACTCTCTTCCACCTTAATGGTGGGCTCGTATTGTTTGTTGTTTACCCAACACTAACTGCTCCACTTGAATTTTGACTGTTGATATCGGCAACAGTTACAACTGTTGGATGTGGTCGCAGCTAAAAGGTTGCTGTGACAACTTCAGGCCTTTCACATGTCATTAATGTATGTCGTGCCAATGTCAATCAGCGTGTTTCCTTCACTCTCAAAGAGAATCTGAACATAGCCGGTATATTTTTACGACCCACTGAGCTATCTTAGATGGGCGCTTCCATCATTAGACCAATGTTAGAGTACGGTTCGCGCGCCTACTTTTCGATTACCTGAGGCGAGGCACAAAAGATCGAAAGGGTCCAACACGTTGCTACCAGGCTCATCTCGAGTTTACGTGGCTTGAGTTATGAAGACCGGTGCGAGAAACTAGGACTCTACACCTTGTCCTACTGTCGGATGCGAGTCGACCTCATTATGACAAACCATATTCTACATCTCGATGACTTCCCAATGCTAAGGCCAACGCTGCACTTATAAGGGCCATGCGGCACACGCGGACACTGATACAAACTTATCGTGCCGGATGTGAAATGTTTTCCCCACCTACTGTGCTTCGAACGGAGAGTGGTAACTATTTGGAACAGTTTACCTGAACATGTGGTTGAGGCAGCACCTGTGCAGCAGTTCAAAACGTTGTTAGATATCTGTTTTACCACTATTCGATTCAGAGTACGATTGCAGGCTTACGATGACATATCACATTTGTGAGTCCTGAAATATCGTGAGATATTTTACGTTACATGAGAACGACAACGATAATCACGGTTGAAAATTTTTGCAACGTTTTTCACCATATCTCAGAATTGTTGTACAGAATTCATTTCTACTTGCTATATAATACGGTATTCAGTAGCTCGAATCACTTCTGATGAATTTGTTATTAAGTGGGGATCAGATGTACTCAGTTTCGGTGTCTATTCCAACCAAACAATGCGGATATTCCAAAGTCAGAATTCATGAGACAATTGGGCACCGTACCAGCGCACAGTTTCAAAGAACGGAACGCTGTCAGGCCTGTCGAGTGGAGCAAATTTGGAAACGATCCTCTTAGCGTTCTGTCTCTGAGCCATTTCGTGCTCAGTTGGCGCTAGTGAAGCATTATCATGCAAATTTATGGCTTCACCCTCATCATTTGCGCGAAACGCAGTCGCAAACCATTTCTACTGTGATAGTCCGGATTCTCTCGCACATTCACTGTTGCGAGGTCTTGCAATGATTTTACCCCATCTGTTCGAACGGACATGGACAATGGAAACTTTCACAACCAACTGGAGAGTCCAATCGATTCGATATTAGGTCATTCTCATTTTCCATGCATTCCGTTGTAAACGCTTTGGCGATTGAGTCATCTAAGTTCGATCTGTGCTTCGCCCCATCGAAGTGTAAGGTGCTGCTCCAGGATTGGCACTCACCCGCTCCCGTGCTCACCATTGAGGGTACACAGCTGAACAAGTGGATAGCTTTATCTACCTGGATAGCTGCCTGTCTGCTAGTGTCTCGATACTTTCTCTCCGCATCGCCAATCAGCATGCGTCAAACTGAAGCACTTGTGTCATCGTCGGGATGTCTCCCTATTGGTACAGGCTCGCGTGTACAGTGCCACTGTTCGGGCGATGTTGCTATGTGGAAGCCTGTTCACGTGGATTACACGCGCCGGCTCTCGGATTTTGACAATAGGTGCTTGAGGAGGATTGCTCGTGTGTGGTGGCTGCCACGTATTTGCAATGAAATCCGACGTCATGTCTTGGGGGATGCGAGTATGCCCCTCAACAATCTGGTTTTGCTGCGTCAACTAAGATGGTTCGGTCACGTTTTGCGTACATCAGTTGGGCGTTTGCCTTATTGGGCCCTTTTCGCTCGTGTAAGACTTGGTTGGAAGAGACCGCGCCGTGGTCAGCGGTCCACTTGGCGTCAGCATATGGAATCGTTGACTTCACGTCTTGCTACCGTTGAATCCACACGTCTGCCTGGTTTGGGACCAAAGGACGAGGAGTGCAGATGGCTGGAAACAATACAGGATATGGCGCATAGTCGAAACCAGTGGAAGATTTGTGTACATACTTGTTCGGATTCAGGAGTCTAATGTGTAACAATCGAATAATATTTTTAAAAAAAGTTGAAATGGTGTGTGAAAAATAACAAAAACAGTTCTGTTCTTCTTACGGCATAATAGCTGAAGTGTGTTGCTCACCTCCAGCTACGACGCCATAATGATGATGTGGGTGATTAAACCTGTATTCTTCCAATGATTTCCATGATTTTGTTTGGCTCTATGTCTATTCGTTAGACTGCTGCCAATACTTACATACATCCTCGTTCTCATTGATCCATCATTGGTGTCACCCCACATGAATCACAATTGTACTGCAGTTGAACACTCGCCAAATACACAGGTGTACTGTTGTTAGTGCCGCTACAGCTGTTGATACTGCTGACGCTTATAGTGTCAACAGCCACTCGAGAACCATAACTAGTTGTGGACACCGATCAGCGGTCTGTCATTACCGAATAGATTGTACATTTATGTCCTACATAATTTCGAATAACTATCATTTCTGCTCATTTTCATTGCCTTGTTATTGATCTTCTCTACGCGGTCAATTCGATTTGTTTGGTCCAAGTCTGCCTACCACCAATGCGGCACTCCGTTCGCGCCATACCGAACCGTTGCTGCACTGCTCACTGCTCAACCTGTTTCATCGACGACCCTAGTGCAGTGACTGGCTAGCTTTCCATCCGCTGGCATCGTATCTGTTCCGGCCATCATCACAGTGATGCTGGTGATCCATCCACAGCCCAGAACCTCTGTTCATCTTCGGTTCATTTCAGCTCAACTTGCTTAGTATACTTGAAACATCGCACCGTCGCTGCTGCAGTTGATTTCATCCACACACGCATAACAAAATAGGGGAAATTGATCAAAGTAACAAGCAAACGCAGTTGGAGTTCCAGTGGTATAGTCATAGTTGCTTCTCAGTCACATCGTGAAAACTGCTGTATCGATCCCCGGACCTCACTTCATCTCATTTCGTCGGTCAGCCTTTTCATTCATATTTGTCATGTCATAGTCTGTGTCTTTGGACTTCACTCAAATAAACATTATTGTATGGCATCACGCATTTAGGTAACTGATCGACAGTCAGGACGTTTCAAGTTCTACAAGTGATTTACTCTAATATTGGGAGACATGTTGCTTCACCCTCTCCGACTGTCCCTGACATCATTCAGTCGGTGGTCCCTCGGATGCCGGCTGTTTTACAGGCAACTATTTACATGTCTCCATTCACTGTTCATTTCAAATTGAGCTCTGCTTTGTATTAACGACTCTTCGATTTACTTTTCCCATTCACTATGGAGGGGAGGTCCACAGGAATCCGTTAGAAATACAACAAGTTGTGGTGGTAACCGATGGTTTTCTTTGTCCACCTTTTCTTTAATTTACCCATAGATTTTCGCCTTTCTCATCAAGTGCTTGTGTGCTTTATAACCTCTCTTCATTTATGTACTTTTTAACATTAACTGAGACAAGTGCACTTTTAATCCACTGTCATCCCGCTTTCTCCCCCTGTCCATTCGCTTATGTACAGTGTTCGGAGGTAACCTAGAGGACCGTCTGACAGAACAGGCGTCCGAAGCGAAGAAGAAACAGCTCACCCAGTTTCGAGAGGCACGTTCTGTACAACGACGATTGCTTGCCGAATTCCAGGATATCGAGACGGGTGATTTGCTGAAATTTAACCAACTTAAAGTAAGCTAAAAAATTAGGCTCTTTGTAGCATAGTATCCAGCTTGTTCGGTGGCGATGTTTTTACACTGGTTCTCCATTCCACTCGACTTACTCTTCCACTGCTCGGAAACTGAGCCCAAAGATGGCGCGGAACTTCGCATTTCCCTAACCCGCTGACAGATGTACGTTGATTGAGTTTTCTTTTGGCGACCTCAGCTTCATTCGTATTTAACTTATTCGAATCTGCCAGGGTTCTATGCTTTGGCTACTCAAATAACTGACTCACCTTTGATTTGACTCCCCGCTTCTGCCGGCTAAGTTCGGGGCCCACGACAGTTGCCCAGCCCTCATACAATCTCCAGCTGTTGCATAATATCACAGTATCAGTACAGAGTGCTGGCTCACTGTCGATGTTTTTTGTTTTCTCTTCTACAAGTGTTCTGGGACCAACCCACAACCTGTTCTGGTCAGAAAGTTTCTCATTGTGTCTACAAAAGGCCAACGCGATTTACCCTCGAGTCATGAATTCATCGTAGAGACTATACTTTAACGTGGTGCGATGGTTTGCGTGCCTCAGCGATCCATTGGGCTATGCAACTTCAGATCCACTCATACCAGATTGATCAGTGGTTAGAGGCCTGAGAAACTTAGTCTCCTGGCTCTCGGTTGGGGGTTGAAGTGAGGATGGCTGCTTCATAAAACGGACTCTGTGTAGCCCGATGTCAAAACTCCGTTGCCTTGCGGTTAGGTTTTTGAACCAAATGCTTTTGTTGAGAAGCCCAATCATTCTCCTCTCTAGGCCTGGCAATCTAACAGTATTCTGCCCACGCTGCATCGACCACATCTTCACCTTGCGTCAGTTGTTGGAGCACCGTCACACATATTGGCGGCCCATCGTAGTCGTGTTCCTCTACATCAAAGGTGCCTTCGATTCGGCTGATCGATGTCTACTCAGGTGTGCTCGAGAAATATGTAGATATTATCCAAGCATTATACGCGCGTACCACGGGCAGAGTGAGGGCTTACGGCAAGCTGTCGCCACCCTTCAATATCTCCAGCGGTGTGAGACAAGGATGCCCGTTGTCACCAACTTCGCTATTGACGAAGTCATGGAGATTGCATTTACAGGATATGACTTCGAAACTGTGGAGTTACTCCCAGGAGAACGACTTCTTGACTTGGAGTATGCAGACGACATTGCCCTCATCTGTGACAGCTCCCAGACGTGCCAAGCCGCGCTGGACAGATTAGCACTGGCTGTCAGCCGCTTCGGGCTTTGCTTTGCACCATCGAAATGCAAAGCGTTCCTCCAAGATTGGCAGGGATCGCCTCCTGCGCTGACCCTTGGTGGGGACCAGCTAGAAGTCGTTCGGAAATTCAACTACCTTGAAAGTTGTATCAGCGCCCTTGGGATCGAAGACGAGATCACGAACCGTATAGCGAAAGCTCGAAGTGCTTTTGCTAACCTTCGCCACCTATGGCGACGGCGCGACATTACTATCGCTCTGAAGGGTAGGGTGTACAATGCAGCGGTACGTTCGACCTTACTGCGCGGTTGCGAAACCTGGCCCCTAAGATCGGCGGCCATGAAGAGGCTAGTTACGTTCGACCATCAGTGCCTTCGCAGTTTGACTCACATCTGGTGGGAACATCGCGTGAGTAACGAGCGTGTTCGACGCCTTGTTTACGACACAGGAAAAGGAACTGAACCGCTCAGCACCGTCATTTCACACACCAGGCTCCGATGGCTGGGCCGCGAGTTGCGAATGCCAGCCCACCGGCTTCCACGATGTGCGTTGATTGCTCACCGGGGATGTGGATGGAAGAAGAGGAGAGGTGGCCAAGCGATGACTTGGTCAAGAGGAATGAAGGCCCTCACTTCGGAGCTAGCCTCGGTTGGAGCGTCACGGCTCCCTGGTTGTGGTCCAAAAGACGGTGAACACGTTTGGCTGGATACACTTGCTGACATGGCAAGGAGCCGACCTCAGTGGCGTTCCTGCTGTAAGTTTCTTTGTCCCTCCCCATCCCTTTTAGCCTCCCCCTCCACCCACGATCTCATTTCTTAGCGTAAAGCACAAAAAAATTTTCTTTATGCCTAGTAGCCGGCTGGTAGCTTACCGGAACGATGCCTATCCGTTACTGGTAGCTCAGCGGGTACGCAACTGTTGTATTGATTTTCTATTGTGTATTGCGGCACAGTAGCTGAGGTGTTTCCCACCTCTGACTGACGTGTATAACGACGTATAATGATGAATACAATGAACTGTTCTTCAAGTAATTCCTTGATGCACTGGCGGACGCAGAGAATAATAAACCGCGCCCTTTTTGCTGCATCGAACAGAATGGATAGGTGTTCGGATGCTACTGCTCAAGCCTTCCCTTCTTCTTATACCCCCTGTAGCGCTCTTTCATCCTTATCGTCCCGTTCCAGTTTCACTTTTCTCCCTATTTTCAACCCCCCCAATTCTTGGCCCTCCCCATCTGGATTCAGTAATCTTTCATATTCTAATTTAGACTCGCGCGATCGCAGAGCATCGCTCTGGTCCAGTTGACAAGTCCATGTTCAGCCAAACTGACAACGTCTGTTCATCTGCTTCTATTTGGAGCCCTCGATCCTCACTTAGACTGGCATGCCTCAGTGTGCACACTTTGTTGCAGATTGGTTAACAGGCAACACTCACCCGAACACTGGAGACCATACCAATATATATATATATATATATATATATATATATATATATATATATATATATATACTGCTTATCAAAAACTCGCCTGCAGGATTCGGGGTTTTTTAACTACCCTGCGATCCCCAACGTGCGACACTGGTGGTATTTTCTCATTGCGTTTGTTTGGGGATGACGCGGTTTCAAATGCCGGTCAAGCCAGTGTGGGCATTGCTCTTAGTCCCCGTGCTGAATCTACCCTGATCGATTGGATCCCAATGAACTGCCGGATGTGCGCTGTCAGATTGGCTGGCTCGTTCCGAGCCTCGAAGTCGCGTGGGGACAAATGGTGCTTGTTTGTCATTGCGGCGTATGCGACCACAAACTGTAGTGCTGACTCGGTAAAAAATGAATTCTTTCACCAACTGAAGCGCTTCTTCCTTACAGAATAAGTACGGATTACGTGATGCTGGCTGGTGATTTGAACGCCCAAGTTGGAAAGTTCACCATTGATAGGCTTCAAATTGACGGCCAACACGATGTAGGCTCCAGTAATGATAACGGTGAGCGGTTGCTACACCTATGTGAAGATGCTCCTCTCTTTCTCGCGAGCACTAACTTCCGACACATCACCCGCAGAAGTGTGACATGGCGCCCACCAGCCTCGGATCAGCTGTGGAAGCAAATCGATCACATCGCAATCAGTTATCGCTAGATAGGCTGTGTTCAAATCTGTCACTCAATTTGGAGCACACGTGTGGACCACGCACTCGTTTGTGCCGATCTTACAGTTAACTTCGTTGGGCGCATGCGGCGTCGCTGTGAGAGCATAGATACATGCCAGCTGGCGAAGACGGATGTCCTGAATGTGTATCAAAGTACGCCGGCATCCTGACTAAATAAGCGTTCTACGAACACATTAGAGGGCCACTGATCGCATATTCACGGGACGTTATCAGCAGCAGGTAGGTCTTCAAGTTGCAAATCAAATTGCGAAGCTAGATATTGGGTTTCTATGCTGTCTCTGGAACTTTTGGATGCTAGCGGACACATTCCGGCTGGGAGCGAACACAACAAGACTCGCAAAAAACAAGGCGAAACTGCGCGCTAACCTGAAAAGAAGCCGCGAAGCCTTGTGGTCGCATCGTGCAACGGCAATGGCCGCTGCCGTTGGTAAGTATCGGAAATTATTTCGTTTGATACGCGAAACGGGTAGAAGGAAACCTGGTGTTAGCGAGACCATACGTGACGAAGGTGGACGGCCGATTCACAGTCAGCTAAAACGCTTGGGGTGTTGGGCCGAACACTTGGAAAAACAGCTTAATCAACTACAGTTACCAGCTTTTCCTTCGGCCATTGATCGTCCTTCTCCCTGCACCCTTCTTCACGCGCAGAAGTCTGACATGAGATCAAGCTATTGAAAGTGACTAAGGCTGTAGGATCGGATAGAATACCTCCAGTTCTTTTCAAATTCGTGGAACCTACTCTTATAGGTGATCTGCCTAGCTTTTTGTGGACCTGGAGGAGCAGGAAATTGCCCCCAGAGACTGGAGCCGATTCATAATAGTCCCAATTTTCAAGGAGAAGCTCACGTTTTGTATGGCGCAATCATAAAGGGATCAGTCTGATCTCAACTGCTTCTAGGGTACTCGCCTCCGTCGTTTTTCCTACACTTACTGGCACCCATAAAAGCCAGATTTGCAGGGAACAAGGCGGGTTTTGTTCTAGTCGCGGCTGTATTGGTGACATCTTCACATTACATCAATTGTTGGAGCACCGCCATATTTATCGGCGAGCCACCGTAGTCATGTTTCTAGACATCAGAAATGTCTTTAGTTCGGTTGATCGATGTGTTTTTGTGACTGTCTACTAAGGAAAAGTGTGCTCGTAATCTATGTAAACATTATCAGAGCGCCTTATTCACGTGGTTCGAGCAGAGTGAGAGCTTACGGCAAATTGTCGTCGCCCTTCAATATCCCCAGCGATGTGTGACAAGGATGGCCGCTGTCACCTTTCCTTTTCAACTTCGCCATTGACGAAGTCATGGAACTGCTTTCACTGGACACGACGTGAAAGGCGTGGATCTGCTCCCAGATGAACGGCTTCTTGACTTGGAATACGCCGACGACATTGCCCTAGTCTGTGACAGCTTTCACATTGGCCGTCAATCGTTTCGGGTTATGCTTTGTACCGTCGAAATGCACAGTCCTTCTCAAAGATTGGCAGTGACTCACCCCTGCGCTACCCGTTGGTGGTCAGCCAGAAGTCGTCGAGAAATTCAAGCATCTAAGCAGTTATATCAGCGCCAGTGAAACGGAAGATGAGGTCACAAGCAGCATATCAAAAGTTCGATGC